CCAGACGTCAACCAAACATAAACTCCATCAAGTGCCGACGACGGGTCAAGAAAAAGTCGTGTTCAACTACCTCTAAGCGGCGTCACAGATGAGACAGAGCCATAGGCAGTTGTTGTCTTCTCACTCCTCGTGTTCTCCATATCAGGAGAGAGGAGATAAGGTAACGTCCAGCGTGAACCAGGGACAAGTTGAAGACGAGGAGCAGGCACGATTTCAAGTATTCATGACACGAGGCGTCTCTCATTGACTACGGGGGTTTTGGGCCTTGAACCAGATCAAGTCAACTTGCTAGGTGAACATGTGGACCCAGCGAGCGAGTCGGATATCATCCTATCCCTCTTTCGTCTCACATACGGGAGCTTCCTCGCTCCAGACTCCATGTATCACGAGCCAGAACGTGCGTTCTGATGCTACAGCCTCACAAGGCGGGCAGTAAGACCACCCAAACTATATGTCTTCATTCACCCCGCCTCGCAGCCCATCACCTCGGGATCTTATCAATAAGTACCATCCTCACATCTCACCGCACTGCGCGATGACAACGTCCTGGTTCGGCTGGTCCTTTCCGCGGTACCCCGTCTTGGTGGCCTCCATCATCTTGACAATGTCCATACCGTCGACGACCTTGCCAAAGACGACGTGCTTGTTGTCCAGGAAGGGCGTCGGGACGGTGGTGATGAAGAACTGGGAGCCGTTTGTGTTGGGTCCGGCGTTCTGATGGCATTGTTAGTCTAAGTATCATCGCCAATTTCGTCGCGTTGCAGCGAGTTGGTGTCAAATTCGGAAAGTAGGTTCTTGACGTACAGCCATGGAGAGCAGACCGGGCTGGTCGTGCTTCAGATTGAAGTTCTCATCGGCGAACTTGGAGGTGCCGTAGATGCATACCGAGCCGGTACCGTCGCCATTCAGGAAGTCGCCGCCCTGGCACATGAAGCCTTGAATCTGTAAGACATTGTCCGTCAGCCGTTGCACCGTTGTCAACTATCTTCACATGACCTTCCCCCTTCAGTGTCCGGTCCGGAGATTGAGTAAGATGGCTGGCAGTGTTACGTAGAAAGATAACTCACGATACGATGGAACTTAGAGGCCTTGTAGCCTTGCGGACGACCCCGAGCATCCTTGGACTCGCCGGTGCAGAACTGACGAAAGTTCTCGGCTGTCTTGGGGACTACATCCTTGAAGAGCTCGAACGTGATGCGGCCGAGTGGTTCACCTAGAGACAATACCGAAGAAGCGTTAGAGAGAAATAGTGCAAGTCAAAGGATGGATGGTAAAGACATATTCCCAGACTTTGGGGCTTTGGAAATGACGGCCGGGCAGATTCGTAGACCGAGAGATCAGGGCCACACCGAAGAGCCGAAGCACACCAGCAGCTCGGAGCCCCGGAGCCGGGATTGCCTGAGCCGCGATGTTCAACTGCCGGTGGTAGCGTCTTTGTGGCCAGGAGGGGACAAGTTCCAAGTCCAAGACCCTGGACCCATCTGGACAACGACAACCTAGCTCGTTCGTGGACAAGAGTGCCCAGCATGTAAGGCAGAACCTTGCGGGGACCCGTCTCTCTCGGCATATGCACACGTGCACAATGCCTGCGAATAGCTTCGTGGCCCCAAGACTTCAAGAGGCCAAGGACGACAGAACAGTCCATGAGACTCGTCCCCCAAGCACCCCGGCCAAGACATGAGGAAAAATTGAGCCCCCCGACGGCGAAAAATTTAATACATACCACCAAGTGTGATATCGAAAAAGACCCTATTGACGCAGGCTTCTGTATTAGCTCACTTCCTTGTACAACTCAAATCAAAAAAGGGTGAAGACTAAATCACTCTCGGGGTAGTGGACTGCCACCGGCTCCCGTGTACTTGTTCACATATCAGCGCAATAGGTGCTGGCTTTCCCACCTCTACCATTGAAGCTCGAGAGGCTGTTGAGGAGGGTGTGGACGCCGAGGGCTCAGCCACCGCCACCGCTTCGAGATGACTGCAGCCCCTCCCCTCTCAGAATCTCTAGGCTAGGTGTTGGCGAGAAGCGGTGAAAGGCACAGCGAGGCGTGAGTGGGATGAGAGATGGAAAGGCGGATTTGGATATCCACCGAGAATGCCGCGCGCGCGGTAAGGGGTTCTTGAGAGAAGAAAGAGGAATAAACTTAGACTTACAGCGGGTTGCCGGATTCCGGGAGCTTCGTGGGAGGCATGGCTGGGGGTGGTTTTGGGGGTGGTAATCTAGCCGTAGGTCGGTCGTGTGGGAACGGGGATAAGGAAACAAACGAAAGGGGAAAAAAAGGTAGACTCGGCCCCAGCTGCAGCTGTTTCTCTTCCGTGGACGCCGGCGGGGTAGCGGGCTAAGGTATGTTGAAAGGCGGGGGGGGAGTTGTTGAGACTTGGAAGCCAGGCGGTGGATGAATTCGATATCCAAGAACTAACGGTATGGATTACGGGAAACTTCTGTCAATCCACGCCGAGGATTCGTAGGCCCGCACCTGTCCTGCACCTATGTGGGGCCGCCCAGCCAGTCCAAAGTGCGGAGGGCAACGCACGCACCTGAGCCGAGTTGTCGGAACCCGGGCAGAATAAACCTTCCATCGGTTCTTTTGGAAGAGAACTCCGCCGACGACAACGACGACGACGCTACACTACCTTGGGTACTCCGTACTCCTCCAAATCTTGGCACCTCAGCTTTCCTGCCCAGCTCTCCCGGGCGACTGGATGGGGATTGTCAGCGACATGGAGACCCCAGCCCGCTGGTGCGGAGGCACCTACCCAAACGGGCCAAAAACGAGGCTTTACTTGTCCTCCGGGGTATCGGGTTGCTGGCAAAATGCCTCAAATGCAGCGAACATGCAAGCCACACTGAACCCGAACTCCGCATCAGAGGGACGTTCTTTACGCGTATCATGCGGTCCATCGTTGTGTTTGGAGATGCAGTGATCAGCTTGCAACGGCTTCCGAGTACCGTCTTGCTTGAACCTCCGAGGATAGTGGCCGCGCCTCGACCGATTTGCAAGACAAGCTGACCGTCATATTATCAACATTGGTGCTCTAGGGCGTACTCTCCTGTTGCTCTCATCCAATAGAAACAAACCGCTGGACTGTCACAAAGGTATCATCTTCCATTGACTCGGCCGATTCTATAACGATCCTGCCGCATGGGCAGTGGATAAGGTTTTATGCACCGGCTTCGATGTGTAAATCATCCCAACAATCCATTGTATGAGGACCCTTCATGCGTCACAGATTTGCCCAGACCAGCAAGCCAAGGGGCTCTCCATGCAAGTTCGATTTCCAGGGAAGCACAGGGATTACTGGCGATCGATGATCTTGGTTAGAGAAGGAATGACCAAGTTGGAGGCTGAGTACCTCGAGAACCCCAAAGATGTTCTCCCCTCTGTCCCCATAGGCTAAGAAACAATTCGGGATGGTCAGAACGAGCGCTCGCGCCTTATCAACAACAGCGGTTGACTTTGAAAGACAATATCAGATCCACTCCAGATGCCGGTGACATTTCATCACACTGAGTTCGCAACGTTCAAAAGACAGGCTTCTTTACAGAAGCCTAAACCATCTCTGAAGAGACTAGGAGCGATTGCTCACGGAGCAACCTATCCCCCCGTCGCGCGAGGGACTCCATCCGCCTCATGTAAGCTGCCACATCGTAAGTATTGTCCAGATCTCGAGCCGAACCCCAAAAATCAAGACAACGATCACGAAGACTAATCGTCAAGTCATGGGCAACAATGCTGAATGTATGGTCATACGAGACACCGCGAGAAAAAGGAAAATAGCACAGAGTTCCCTCGTTTGCTGCATCACGCCATAAACAGGAAACATGATGGGGGAATTATCAACCCACCCACCCGTAGCTGTAGTACATCCTGAAAACTTTAGCTTCAACCATGATAGACGAGCTGACCGCTTGGTGCATCGCAGGCTGACTTGGCTAGGTAAGTACCAGTTTGAAATAGCGAAGAAGTTGAAGCTCGATGCCTGGGTTCATTTGGAACCATTCGTGTTCGTTCTCATGTAGAGAGACGTAGGAAGCAATGCAGAGCCATCACGGCAAGATGATTAGCCCATTCGTCAAGCAGACATCAAGCCTCCTTTAAATCAAGGCATGCTTGACCAAACCTCCCCAGGACAGAGAAGCGGATATCCTCTTACATCCGAATCGCAGCCTATGCCAGTGTAAGCTCCATGTGCGCCTCATCGCCAGCAATCTTCACAACCCTCGCCATCACGCTCGACTCAGAACGTCGGCTTCATTCAGCTAGAAAGACCGAGTTATGAAATCCGGTGGGGTTCACCACCACCACCGTCGAGATTCGTCCACCAGCTCAAAGTAACCTGTACATCTAAAGAAACGCCGTTACTGCATGCAGCAGACTTGACGGCGGGGGTCATTGCGCCGAGAGAACGCGGCGAGATGAGCCGAGATTCTCTCTCTTCCCCTTCACCGATGCCCAGCAGAAACGAAAAGGGAGGGTTTTGGAGAGTATGCCAAACCCCACGGTTGCTTTTTCAAACCGGCCACACACACAAACACATACACCCCGGACCGGTAAAATTCTTGGATGAGCCGTCTCCCGATCGGCCGTCGTCCGTGCCGAGGCCGGGGGTCGCCGAAGATATAGTAGCCTTCCCCGGGGTGGGCTGTCCGCTGACGGCTGTCAAAGTGTGTCAATCTGACAAGGGAAACACAATATTGGAAAAAGGAAAAGAGGGAAAAAAAGACCCGTGCAGCCCCAAATTCATGGGCGACAGGGACCCCCGGGAGGGAACTTGACTCAGGATCGCCGTGGATGAATCCGTACCTGGCAAGGGCACGCGAGACAAGACCGGTTCGGCATACAAAAATCCTCGTGAGGTCGTGCGCTAATATTGGAAAGCATATTCCGTACGCAGTAGAGGGAGAACAAGAACAGCAATATATTAAGCTTCTTCAACTAAAAAGAAATATAGGGAGAGAAAGCTTGATGTTGTCGCACTTGAAACAATAGATCAGCCACAATGGGCTACCTGGGCGCTCAGCCTTCATGCTTCCTCTGGTAATTAGAATTCCAACGGTCAAGGGGGTAGATAGAAGTTCGCGAACCAGCAAGTGGTCTACCGAAACCAGACTGTTCGACCGCTCGAGCAGCTGTTCTGATGAATCCTCAATTCGTGGATGGGCACCGCAGCCCCACGCAAACCGTCCATATGTCATTGGTCGCGTGGTTTTCTCCTTGCTCTGCTGCCCTTACCTCGCATCTTACATAACCCACCGCGGCCAGAGGTCCTCTCGAATCGGAGCGAACATCGCGCAGAGAACCCCGCGTCTTTTGGCTGCACTACAGCTGCAGCTCCAGCTGAAGCCCGGGGTTGAAAGTGAGGAGAAGCCCCCCGTACCCGTACTCCAAGGGTACCAAATGCAGAAGGCCGCGTCACGGAATTCGGGTTTAACAGAAGATAGTCTACTTTTGCCAAATGCCCAGCCCCTCTTGGCTGAGGCTTGGGGGCTACGAGAGTGGATGAGGACACCAAACTCGACGATATTGGAGAGAATCGTTGCCCCTCTCCAAGTTTCCCGCGGCGCCAGCCTTCGCGCACATATGCCGCATCGCGACGACCGCGTGGAAAGTCTGGAATGCTCGGAACGCTACCAGGCACTTGGGTTTTCGCCGTGGACGATTTGGGGGAGATTTGAATTGCTCGCCGGAAATCGAACTGATCGACGGGAGCGAACTGAAGCGTCTGACAGGCTGGCGTTAGCAACAAGCCCCATCAAGGACGGCTTTCCTCTTTGCCTTGCTGCCGTGGTGCGTCTGCCGCATCGCCGTTATCGCGAGCCAACCAACTCGTAGGCGAAAAAAAGTCCAGACTCCCCCCGGATGGCGCGGCGTTGAAGATCGACAGCACCAGAGCAGGGTGGAGCGGATGAAGAGGGGGCCGGGCTCAGACGACAAAGCAGCCTGTCGTTCCATAGAAAATGATCTCATGGAATGCTGGCGATCCAATAGTAGGCTCAGGTCTCGTTGTGATTCGCGAAAACAGGACTTTTCGACTTTCACACTCCCGAGGGCCTCACACATTAGGGGCCTGTATATTTTGTTTCGGGCGCGGTTCGTTACCACTCGATCCACGCATGGCCCGCTGACAGGTCACCCACGATACGAGTCTATCAATACGGAACCAAATCGCTTTGCTAACAAGCAGAGGACTGCAGTTGTAGCTTGTAGCCAGGTACGTCGTAGACACACCGCACATGATCACCAAATGTAAATGCCGATGTTCAGTAGTGGCTGGGGGGCGACTGGGAGATATTGGAGGCGTGGAATGCGATCTGGGATCGGCAAGCCTTCTTTCAACGTTCAATGGCGTGTCTGCACAGCCCTGCGCCAGCTGTTTTCCGGGGATTGAAAGTCAAATCGATGATGACCTTGATGACAAAAGAATATCCTCATTCCTGCGCGGCGAAGATAAGCATCTGGCCCCCGCGAAAATTGTGGCCTTACAACATGACCACCGAGTTACGAGACAACTCGTGCCGCCCACTCGCAACGAAAGCGGGCAGGCGAATTAGTTTGTGTTCTCGTTGGCGCCATAAAGCGCGGGAAGGAAAGGAAAACTAAGTCAGATGGCCCCCAAAGACAGACCTAGATATGCGGCTCGGAAGGCTCCGGGGTTGAACGTCGAAATCCGCAAGACCCGGAAGCAAAAGGTTATGGCGTGGTTGTTGCCGGCGGCCAGGGCAATCCGATGAATTTCATTCCGACAGCGAGGGGCATCTACTGATCCGTCTGCAACACCCCGGGTCCGATAGAAGTTGATCGACATTATTCTGCCGCGGATGCTTTGATGGCATGATCCCAGTTGCACACACAGGCTCTGTTAACAGCCGCCCCGCGTACCAGCCTTCCAGCTTTCGAGCCTCTTGAGGGTAGGGTAAAATTTCCCTCATAGACGTGGAGAGTAGGCTGTGATATCTTTCTAGTGAACCATAGAAACTTGGCTTACAGCGGGCGTTCTGTTGTAATTTGGGGTGCAGACGTGTTCGAAGCGACCGCAACCATACTGCATCGTAGGCTTGAGTTTTCGATGGAAGCTTGAAAGCCCAGAATATTCGGTATACAAACACGCTGCAGACGAAGACCGGGAATGTTCTGGTTTGGTCGGGAGCCAAGCCGTTTTCGTCGCCGTCATCAATGGCGGGGATAAGTTGGTGTGTCCGGATTTGACGGCACTCACCTTCGGTCAGCGTCATTAGTCGAAGCAGCCCCCATTGGAGCGGGCCAGTATCCCCAGACGCACTGTGAAAAGACTATTTCCTCGTACTGTTGTCCTGTTAGTCACGGATCAATCGGCTTGTCTTTGCGCGTGTTTCCTCAGTCGAGACAGCTTGATACAATTCCGAAGAAGCGAAGTTGTAGTTTGGTTGTCGTACTGATAGTATGATTTAATCACTGATAACGTTAGGGAGCTCATTTTCACGATTTGGCGGTTCCATGGCAGTCATGTAAGGTACTAAGGGAAGCCTTCATGACATCGATTTCGTCGTCCCCAGGAACAGCAGTGGTCCCAAGGAGATCAAGCTTTCCTAGGTGGGCGCCTGAGCGTTTTCCAGGGGCTTTGGTTCTTGAGACGGAGCAAGACACAGCAGCGTCTAAGAGAGCCGTTCACTGGCCAAAGAATCGTAAGGTTGTTCGTGTCGTGGCATCTGATAATAAGATGTGTGAGACATACATGTGTCGTGTTGCCTGAGCAGTACTCAGGTCAGATACTCTGGTAGTAGTGCTCTTGCGCTTTCGTGTCTGACATCTTGACCTGGCACCCTGGGGAATACCGACTGCCAAAGCAGCGGTCTAGTGCTCGGACTGGCTGAGGTGGCACTGACAACGATTAGACGTGGCCGAGTGAGTGCATCTTCTCGAAATGCTGGCGGTAGGGTCCGAGGAGTCAATTCGACTGTGTAAGGAGGGCGACACATTGACAAACGCTTGAATCAAGCAAGCCCACACTGCCGATAGAGTCGTCGTGGCGAAAAAGCGTCGTCTTTGTCCGTGATACTGAAACATTGAGAAGATGGGGTGAAATCAATTGCCCGTCGGCCCTAGCGTTCCGAAGCTGGCCATCTGGTTTTTCGAGTGGTTGCAGCGTGCAGCGGTAGCCAGCCAGCATGTCGTTACTCGCCATGAACAATAGTTCGTGGCTATTATTAATTGTTCTCGCGACCTTCAGACCTTCGATTTCGTCGGAGCGCTGCGCTGAGATGCAGGTTCTATTAATGATTATGTCTGAGATGTTGAGACGTATTCCAGACGAGGGACAGTAAGGACGTCGTATTCCGTGCCAGGGGATTGAGTTATTGCTTTTCGTCGTATTGGACGGATACGTGCGTGTTGTGCTTCTTTTCTCTCTCTCTCTCTCTCTCTCTCTTTCTTCCTCGCATGTACCTATGCGGGATGTGCCAGGGGTTAGTCGCCAATGTTGGTGTTGAAGATTTGAAGGCTTGCTTGGTAGGTATGTTGCTTCTCCCGGGCCGGTAGCCGTACCTCGAATTGGTGCCGCGTTCCCTACACACCAATACACAGCAGAACGTCAGAAACGAGATACACACGGATTAGTGATGGCGTGCTCGGTTGCTCCCATCTGCAAGGCACAACCCAGCGCTCAACTCCGACTTTGTACAATCCGATGGCTCGTCTGACACTGGCTTGACTCGGTGATATGGATCCATGTGCGCCATGTCCGGGGCTGGGAAAACCAAAGCACTCTAAGTTGGAAGAACCCTGTTCGTGAGGACAAGGATGAAGCAACAGAATAATGCGCCATGGCTGCAAAAAGAAAGCATAGAAAATTCAACAGGTAGACGTTGGTTGCTCCGGCCATGTTCCGTACAAGCGGCTGATAATCGTAGGTTGCAATGGCTATTGGGGATGCCCATCTAGGTACCTGCTGGTCGTATGCCTTTCCGTTTCAATGTCAGGCGTGAGCGAATATGCTGGCAGTTCAGTTCCAGGAGGTATGATCGTGAAAGAGACATCAAACCCTCAGACACGCGGCTCCAGACAGCTGGACTCGGGCGATCGTTTGGCGAGAGACGAAACAACCGAGCAGTCATATCCTACTCTGACCCTTGTCGACTTTGCTTCTGGCGTAAGCCGCTAGGTGCTTGCTTCTGCTGCTGCAATTCTCCGTTGGGTTATCGCCGCATGGTGCCGCGGTCTTTCCCTTCCACCGTCCGGCGCCGCATCCCCACAGCATCCCCTGCTTTCTTTTCGAGGCATCGCCAGAGCATCGGCCTGGGCCGCCGGAGGGCGGATGGCGTTGACGATGCGCACCGCGGGCTAAAGCTGACCGGTAGCCTAGTACCCGGCCGTAGCGGTGCGGGATTTGGCTTGGTTGCAAAGACAAAGGGGAACAAAGAAGACGACATTTTGCATGGTCGGCTGTTCATTACCCATGCCTGTTGAGAACCGAGAAATGATGATTTGCCGAGGCTTTGGGGGAAGTTGATGTTGGAACTCAAATCATGAACGGGCAAGTGGGCGAAATGGAAGCCGAGGGCACGGATGATTTATCCGACGTGATATCAGCAAGGGAAAGAAACCCCTTCTTCTTTAGAAGCAGTGTCAGCAGGCCCGAACGGTATTGGTGTTCGTGACTTGAGGTGGTGTTGCGGTGCAGGTTGTGCGGGCGCGACAGGCAGACTCTTTGGAATTTCAGGCGCCTTAATGGCAGGTACGCACTACCTTGAGCTAAGGCAACATCAGGCAGTTCGGCAGTGGTATACGGTACCTTGGGTGTCAGATCAGCATCATGCTGGGCCCCTTGATTCGATGCGAGATTTCTCTACCTAGGATAGGGGTAGACGGAATCCGATAGGGTGCGATTTGCAGTATCAGCCTCATGACGGCAGCGGGAACGACGACAAAGAACCAACGGGTTGGCCGAGATGAAGAGGAGAATCGGATTGTCCATCACGGGAAGCGGCGCTTGAGCTTTGATTTTGTGTAAAGTACCTTAGATGCTCCGTTAGTAGGGGGTTGAAGACAAGCGACGCTAAAGCCAACCTAAGCACCATGGCGGTAGCCCAGAGTCAGACTCAAGTCACTGTATCCGTCAAAAGCAGCGGGAAGAGACAATCTACGGTAAGGTAAGTCCCCGGCCAACCTTACTTGTAGACGCCTGCTTTTGCATTTCTTATCTTGAGAACAATACGCTTGCCTTTGAATTGTTCAAGATTTTAGAAGGCCATTTTCTCAGTTTCCCCGCCGGTTCATTGCCGGTTCCCCAGTCAAGAACGAGTTCAACCATGACATTTCAAGAGAGCAACCCACTTGCTATGTGAGCACTTGAGCGAGATATGACGCTAGTTCTAAAGGAGTATAGTCGTCTGTCCGAGGGTCGAGTTCCATCACTCACATTGTCTCTGGCGTGGCGCTTTGTTTCCCAAAACAGACTAGACCGGGGCGTCCTACGAGCTGGGTGAAGGTGCAAACGAGGTGACTTGCAACAATTGACGGCCCTCAGACCCGTGAGCGTCCATCTCAGTCACCTACGAGACGCATGCCTTGGATTTCTACATACGTACATACGCAGTCTAATCCTTTCAAATGGCAGCGCTTTCATCCATGGTGGATTGTCTGTGCTGTATCGGTATCTACGAAGCAGTCGGTACTGGGCACTATCCGTCCTCAGGTATGCTCAGTTTGGTCGCCCGTCTCCATGACACCCTTTTGTGCCCCTACCTGGCTCGAAGGTGTGTGCACCAGCACAGATTGGAAAATGCTAATCTGAGGCTTCGCAGTGGCACAGTGTGAGGGCAGCCAACATCCATTTCATCCAGGCCGGCGTGCAGCGTGCCAGGTTACCAACACCACCTCACAAAGAAGACCCGGTTTCTCAGCACCTCCACCTCCTTGCATACAACCCTGGCGCGGGCTAACTCATACCCTGCCCAATCCCATCTTGCAGGCCGTTTCTCCGTTCCATCACTCTTCCCCAGTCTTTCCTTTCGCTCTGTGCCTCAGTGCCTCTTTCCTTCGTGTGCCGTGGTGCCTTCTTGCACCTTTTTGACTGGCCTACCTATTACTCCGTACACTGGAAGGTAACGTAGGGATACTTGGGTACGTCTCTGCCACACTTTGCTCGGTTTGGTTTGGCGGCCCTTGGGGTGTCTGATGTGTCTTGTCTGGGCTGGGTGGTCCTTCCTCCACTCCTCTTCTTCCTTCCCCTTCGCACTTACCCGCCCATCGCCTTGTGGTTCCCACTTTTTCGCTGCGACCGGGCTGTGTTACGCTCTTACTGTCCGTCAGAGTTCCATGTCCTGTTCCATACTTATCCCACTCCACCTGCACTCTCCCTCCCTCCGCACTCTCTTGCCTGCTTTTGTCAACCTTCCCCAACCACCATCCGACATCGTGTCGTGATTCTCCTCTTGTTTCAATTCACTCTACTCACCACGCCTCCCACGGCTTGAGAGTAGATTGGAACCAAGACTCGTATGCAGAAGGGAATAATATCTCTACGAGACGCAATTTCCTTCGTTACTCGATCGGATTGTATCGATTGCACGCCGCATGCGAACGGGGGTTCAGGTCGACCATTTCCGTCCCTAGTTGCTGTTTTCGGCTTTCCGGTTTCAAATCAAGGCAGTTACTCAACCTAGCCACACCCATCTCTCAACTCCATGAACTCGACTCTCTCCCGACCGTGAGTTTTCTTTCGGCATCACCTCCCAACGGTGTTCGACTTTTCAAC